GCTGCGCGCAGGGCTGCTGGCTGGCGGGCTCTGGGGCCAGGCGCTGGCCAAGCAGCGGGCGGAACGGGACCAGCGCCTGCGGGGCCGCCTGCGAGAGGAGGGGGCCAGCACCATGGCCGCCATCGTGGAGAAGTGGAAGCTGCTGCAGGGCATGGGCCGGCCCGAGGCCATGGCTGCCTACGTGGCGCTGGTGCGGGAGTGGCCTGGCTTCGGCTCCACGCTCTTCGATGTCGACCTGCGCGCGGTGAGGCCCCGGGGGCGCGGGGGCGGCGGGCAGCCCTGGCGGCGGGCAGCACTGACGCCCCTCTCCCCGCAGAGCCCAGTGGGAGCTGGGGCCCAGCGGCTGTGGCTGGGCATCGGGGCCAAGGCTGTCTCGCTCTACAAGCCGGGGGAGCCTGAGCCCTTGGACAGCTTCTGCTATGGCCGCATCTCCTCCTTCGGTGCCTCCGACAGCAGCACCTTCCGCCTCTCTGTGGAGGACCGGGATCTGCTCTTTGAGACCTCCCAGGTAAGGGGCAGCCGTCCCTCCGTTCCTTCTTCCCTCCAGGGGCTCCAGCATGCCGGGCACCCCGGGCTGAGCCAGTGTGTCCCCTCTGCCCCGCAGGTGGACGAGATCGCCCAGCTCCTCAACACTTACCTCGCCTCCGCGGGTGCCCGGCAGCCGCCCCAGCCCCAGGAGTCAGCCACCAGCCCCCCTGCCTCGGACCCCACTGCGCTGCCCCAGGGGCTCTGCCCCGCAGCCGGGCCCTGGCAGCACCAGCCACCGGTGGGCTCCTTCCACAGCTAGCCCGGCGGCCAGTGGCGGCCACACAGGGTGCTCCTGATGGATGGCATGGTGGGGGACAGCTGGCCCGGCAGTGAGCGGCAGGTCAGTGCTGGTCCCCAGCCACTCCCTGGAGCAGGGGGACAGGGGCTCGTGCTCTCCACGCCGCTGTTGCCTTTCTGGTTATTTCCTTAATTTATTTCGAGACGCCCACACCCCCCACGTCTCCCAGCACTTTCCCTGGAGGGCAGCAGGGCCGCCATGCCGCGGACCCCCCCCCCCCGTGCTGCCCCCAGGCCTGTCCCCGTCCCTTGTATCCTGGTGCCTTTGCCTTCAGCACTTGTGCTGCCTGGCAGCTCTGCCAGTACCCTGGCTCCTGCTGCCCTGGGGGCTTTGCCTGGGGCACAGGGTGCTGGGCAGTGGTGCTGTGCCACCGTCTGTCCATCTGCTGACCCCACCCCTCCTGGAAAGCTGCGGGCGGCTTTTGGCCTAGCTGCCTTGGGGACCAGCAGTGCTCCTCGCAGCCGAGTCCTGCTGCTTCGCAGTGGCCCCGTGGCAGAGCTTGTGGTGCAGGGGTGGCCAGTGGTGGCGTGGCGGCTGGTACGGCTGGGGCTTGGCCCCTCAATGTTGCCTCTGTAAAGTTTGTCAGTTCTGTGTTGGGGGGGGTGGCGGGGTGGGTGTTTGTTTGTTTTTCTAAATAAATGCACAAAGGAATGGCTGGGCCTCCTGTCCTGGAGCTCGGGCCCGCGGTGGGAGGCAGGGACAGTCAGATCCCCGGGGCAGCGAGTGCAGCGGGGCCTGGGACAGGCAGTGGCGGCGGGGAGGAGCAGTACAGCATGTCCTTGGGGGCAGGGACCGCCGTCCCTCTGGCCAGAGCCGGCAGCCAGGCTGCTTGCTGCGCCCTTTGGCATTTCATCAACGGTGCAGGCAGTGCTCCGGCTCCGCTTCCAGCTCCCCGGCACCCCCTGGCACTGGCCGCCCCGGGGCGGGGGGGGGAACTGCCCCAGCAGCGGGCGCCTCCGCGGGGCCAGTGCCAAAGAGGGCGTGGGAGCCCAGCGCTGCCATGGCGGGTGGGTATTTTTAGCCTGCTCCTCTGTGCCACAGGGTCAGAGGAAAAGGCTAATTCTCACCTTGGGCTGCCTGGGCTTGGGCCGGTGCCAGAGCTGCCCCACACCCCCCCATCCCTCGCAGCCTGAGTCACGCGTGGCAGGACCGGAGCTGCCCTGTCTGTGTGTCCCCCTCCCACCCTGCGTTGACACCAGCCGGCCCTGAGCCTGCATCCTTCCTGGTGATGCCGTCCCCTGCCTTGGATCCAGAGCGGAGAGGGCACCCCCAGTCCCTCAGGGGCCTCCCTCCTGCACGAGGCCTCACCCCATGTGAAACATTAACGCGGCACCACATGCTCTGCAGGCAGGGCGGGCAGGGTGGTGCCGGCTCCTGTCCCTGGTCAGCCGCGCAGGCAAGTCCTTCCAGTATTTCTGGCTCTGCTGCAGCGGTCGCCCAGCGCTGCCCGGGCCCAGACAGCATGCTGCCGGCTGGCTCCCGGCCGGGGCAGGGCCAGCCCCGCACACCACTGCAACGTGCAGGTGAGCAGTGACGCCGGTTCAGCGTTCCCACCGAGCTGGGACACCGGTGGGCTGTGGCTGTGCAGCGGGGCTGGCCAGCTGGCCCTGCAGTGTCTACAGCTGCTTCCCTGCCCGACTGCTCGCTCCAGGAGCCGTGCAGGCAGCGTCAGTGCAGGAACAGCCTTTATTAAAGCAAAATAACCTACAAAAATATAGATACAGCCTGTGCCCCAGGCCTGATCTGGCGAAGGAGGAACAAGGCTCCTGCCCAGGGCAAGGACTAGCTCAGCCACACAGAGCCTTTGGCCACAGGGGTCACATGCACCCAACTCTTTGGCCAGGCTTGTTCCAAGCCCCGGGTTCACTCTCCTCCTCCTCTGAGCGAGTGTTGCTCCCACGGGCAGAGGTTCCCTACCAGCACAGAGTGCAGCTGCCCCAGTCCCGTCCTGGGCCAGGGCACACAGTGGAGCGGAGGCTGTCCCCTGCCAAGGGTCTTCAGGGGCAGCACTGCGCCCTGCAGAGCTGCTTCCGCTGAGGAGCGCAGCGTGTGTGTGCAGCCGCTGCGACGACTCCACCACGGCCGGGCAGCGCTGAGGGGTGCTAAACGTGGGCACGACAGAGACAAGCCCTGCCGGCGTGCGTGGAGGTGGCCGTGGGACCCTCCCGTCCCCTGGCAGAGCACTCACTGCTCCTGCGTGCCCCAGGAGATGTAGTCAGGGCGCGTGGCTGCGTGGTACTCGTCGATCAGCTGCTGCACGATCTCCCGGGAGTTGTCCAGCTCATCAAAGTTGTCCTTGAAGATGTCCTCCTTGCGGAACTGCTCCAGGAAGGCCTCCCGCTTGCGCAGCTTGTCATATTGCCGGCATGTCCGCTCAAACAGCTGGAGAGCAGCACAGTGGTCAGATGCGCCAGAGCTCCCTGGGGATCCCGTGGGGCAGGGCGGGGGGCCCGACCTCCTCAGGCTGCTGCCTAGGAGGAGGCAGGCAGGCAGGCAGGCTGCCCCAGGCCGGCAGGGCAGTAGCTGCTACCCTGCACCCAGCCAGCACTCGGGATCAGCTCATGCCTCCGAGGCTGCCTTTGGCCAGGGAGAGGGAGTCCTGCTGCAGCCGGCTCCTGGGAGAACGGCACCAGGGGTGCAGCAGGACTGACAGGACCCCAGACCAGACCTGAGCCCTGCTGTGCCCCAGCTGGGAGCTGCCCACCCTCCCCTCGTCTGTAGGGCTTGCCATGGCTTTGTTAAAGCCCCCAGAGAAGACAGTTTGCGACTGAAAGGACATCAGAGTTGCAGCTGTGGGGCCCCAGTGCTGCCTGCGGTGTAGAGGGAAGGCACTCACCGAGGAGATGTTGGTGTGGTTTGCCATCATGAGGCCGCTGACGCGGTGTGCGGATGGCAGGTAGGGGGACTTGCGGGACAAAGCCACCTGGATGCTGGCAGGACCCCAGGGGATGAAGTTGGCCAGCTTCCTCTCCCGGATCCGCTGCAGACTCTTGTGAACCTGGTGGGACGAGAGCAGCAAGGGGCAACAGGGTCATGGGCAAAGCAGCCTGGTCCCAGCAGACCCAGGAGCTGCTCCTCACAGGGCATATGGCCTCAGGAAGGTGGACTTCAGCAAATGGCAGGCAGGGAGGCTCCTCATGACAAGGGACTAGCAGCCCTTCTACAGGGCCAGGGCCCACACAGGAGCAACTTGGAGCCAGTTCTCAGGCACTGCTCAGTCTCGCCCCAGGATCCCTGCACAGGAGGACAGTGACCATGCCCTTCCCTGGCAGGCCACACCATTGCCATCAGTATCTGAAATGGCTGTAGGAGCTCACCTGCGTAGGATCCACCTCCCCCTGGATGATGTTGAGGATGGCAATGTAGCAGTGGTTGGTCTGCCTGTCTCGCCCTGTGGACACCATCACGTTTTTAGGCTGCAGCAGTCTTCTCATCACATCCAGGACTGTGGTCTTCCTCACGCTGGCCACCTGCAAATGCCAGCTGGGGGGTCAGAGGGAGTGGGCATGCTGCTCCCTTGCCCTCCCGCTGCCCTGCACATGCACACGCACACAGGAGTGGAGGGCAGCTGGACAGAGAAGCCCTCGCCATGGGGATGGAGCCACATGCAAAGCTGCATGCAGGACAGAGAAATCCCAAAGTCACACAACAGGCACAGCCAGGCTCAGAACCGGAGCATTGGCGGAGGCTCCAACACAAGGGTGCTGAGCTGCCCCCCTGCAGCAGCACAGGAGGGGCTGGGGGCAAAGCTCATCTGAGACCAGAGTGACAGGGATGTGTTTCATGTTGTGCTGTCAAACTTCTGTCCTGTTCCACTGCCGAGGCAAAGAGCAGGGCTGGATGACAGGGGAGGGGTTGTTCCCCGCTGCACCCCCTCCTCACGTCACCCTGCACTGAGCCCGTGGGCAGACCAGCCACTGCAGTCCCCGAGGGCTGTCACGAGCTTTGCCCAGCTGCTGCTTGCCAAAGGTGCCACAGCCAGGGCCAGCACCCAAAGGAGTGCCCATAGCAGGGACAGCTTGGCAATGTGGCAGCCCCGCTCCAGGCACTGACTGAGCTGCTGGCTGAGCCCTTCCCGCACTCCTCCCTGGGAGGACAGATCACACACTCGATACCCTTTTCAGAGCCAGCAGTTTTTCACATTTGCTTCTCTGAGTAACATCCTGAGGAAATGCACACAACGAGAGGAGAACAGCAGCTGTTAGCTCCCAGCAGAACTGAGACGCAGCCAGCGCAGGTGAGTGCCTCTCAAAACAGAACTGCCCCATTCTCACTGGGGGGGCTGAGGGGGCACTGGCTGGGGACAAGCTAAATGCAAGCAGTAGTGTTTGATGCAGCTGAGGGGTGGCAATCCCCTCCCAGTACACAGACCAAGCCTTGGGAAGGGGCTGATGCCTGGAGCCCACAATCAGTCTTGGCATGACAATGACCAAGAGTGTTCTGACCCAAACGGCCTGGGCTGGTGGCCCACCGGGGTGGCACGACTGGCAGGGCCACTCTGCTGGGCTCGCTCCAATCATTTCTAAGGGTGGCTTTTGCCAGATCAGATACTGTCAGCTCTCTCATAGCTGCCGCAGCCATCCTGATGCATGCAGCAGGTAGCCCAGCACAAGCACAATTGCCTGCTCATGTCTGATTCATATCACACGCGGCTGTCACGTGGTGTGGGCACACGGGCCTGGGATTTGGAACACGCAATTACAGCTCACACCAAGACCGTGGGACTGACAGATGTTACAAGGTGAGCAGCTCCTCCTGCCCTCAGGGAAGGGGAGGAGTGCCTGGCGGGCTGCCTTACCGACTGGTCAGTGGTGAGCGGCGTGTACCCCGTCATGAGGAAGTGCAGCCGGGGGGTGGGGATCAGCGAAGCAATCAGCCCGATGAGGTCATTGTTCATGTATCCGGGATACCTGAGCGTGGTGGTGCTGGCAGACATGATGGTGGAGACCTGGGGGAGAGGACAGGGTCAGCATCCGCATCACCACACGGTCACAGAGCACATTCAAAACCTGCTTCACACAGCCGTGCCGGGGGAAGCTGGAGTGCCTGTGGAGGCTGCCCCTGGGAAGGGCGGAGGACCCTCGTTCACAGCTCCAGGCTGCCCAGCACAGTGCCCAGCCCATGGAGTAGGTTCAGACCAAATCGAACACAGCAGGGAAGCCCCATGCCAGCTTCTCCAGAGGGAAGAGCTCTTCTCACCAGCTGGTTGATCTGAGAGAAGGATGGGTTCTGAATGTGCAGCCGGTCCGTCGCGATCCGATTCAAGGCTGTGTTGTCCAGGACCACCTGCAAGAGAAAAAGCTCTGTGAAGAGCCTCGGAGGCAGCCTGAGGACGGGCAGCCCCAGCCACGTGTCCAAGGGCACCAGATTGCCCAGCACAGGCCCTGAGCGCCGCAGCCTGGCAGAGCCCTCCACGGCAGGTGGCAGACACTTGAAACCACAAGCTGACTCATCTGTGGAGCGTAACTAACACTGTCAATGGAAGCTCTTCCCTCCCGTCCTGGCTGTGCTCCCCAGCGCTCTCCCAAAGAGCACTGCCTCTGGGCCACCACCTCACAGCAACCTTCAGCCCCAGCAGCTCTGGCACAGCTGC